CCCTAAGTGTGGCAAGGGCCGTAATGATCATAGCATTATATTAGGATCATTAGCATCACATCACCTAATACTACAAAAGGGCAAGTGGAAAGCATCTTATATTAAAAGCAATTCAGGAATACAGAGGAAAATTGGTGAAGACCTTTTAAATGAGGGAAGATTTGGGGAGACAACGACTTTAATTTTTTGTCAACATTCTATATTGGTTCAAATATCTGATATCTTTTGTATGACTTTTTTATAGCATAATCAGTCATACTTACTTAATCATCATCAATTAATTAATATTTTTCTCAATAAAAATTAATAAACCTGGTAATGTATACCCTAAAAAAAACAAGGAGCATGGCTGAAAGAATCTATGGAGCAACTGATATTTTGTTCAAGAATTTATCAGTGCTGTAGCTAGAAAATAAAACTTCAGTTGTGTTTTATGCTTTATAATAGTTAAATATGTCACCACTCAGAATCTATAACATTATTATTTATCCTTGCATTCGTCCCTGAAATATACATATTTGGGGAGAAAATCCATCAGGCAACAGGCAGTACATTTTTCCTAAGGCGTCTCTTCTTTGCTAAACCAAAGTGTGTCATTTTGCTTTGCTGACAGCTTTAGGGATAGGATGTAGACTGCGTGGTACTAAGTCATTTAGCTAAGCTGGAACTACGCTTCCCAGAGTTCTCTCCCCAAATGGCTGTGTATGGCCAGGAGAGACATTCTATGTGAAGTTCAGACGACATACTTTCTATGCTCTGAAAGTTGCTGCCAATCTGCTGCTTACCTACTTGAGGTATCAAAACTGTAGCAACCCCAACTCCCTGGGTCTCCTCCTTCAGCTTCTTTGAGTCCTGGGCCAAAGATGTGTGTAGTTTGCTGATAATGGGTGCCAGCTCTCCTGTGGGTCACCCACAGCACCGAGGCTGACATGGTTAAGAGACCCAAGTGAGTTCCAGTTTGTCCTCGTGGGTCCCAACTTGTGGTCACGCATTCCCGTTCGTCCTTGCTGTCCTCTACATCCAGATTTCCTTCTTATCTCCTGATCTGACAGAGCTGTATAGTAACTTCAGGCTCAACACAGATGCGGAATTCACAGCCTGTCACAGATTGTTCCACCAGCTCTCATCGCTACAAGTTTCTATGTACATCATCTTATTGCCTTTGCTTTTTGAATAGTTAAGCCTCAAAGTCATAACATCCACTGTGTTCGGTAGAAGTAGAAGACAGGTATTTGGTAGTAGAAGAAGAGAAAGAATGCTTAAAAAGGTAAATCTGGTAGGTAGGATGGCAGGACACTGGAGGCAGGAGGGACACTGGAGGCAGGAGGGACTTCTGGTTCTGTCGTGCTCTTTCCTGCCTGCTCTTCCAGCGTGTGGAGGCCAGTAGCACAGGACATCTAGTGGCGCTCCTCCCCAGTAAGTTTCAGTGGCACCATCTGGGGGACTTCTCAGTGGGTTTTGTTACCACTCTAGTGGGCAGCTTCCCAGTGAATTCCTTTGTGGGCACCTTCTTAGTGATAACCCAATGGGTGGCATCCCAGCCAGTTGAGCCAACACTCCAGAAGGCCGGCTTCCTGCTGCCAACCCTGACCTGCGGCATCTCAGGGAATTTCCTGGCCTTCTGGGGGCCCAGGCGCTCCTTTTCAGTGGGGTCTGAATCTCAGCCCTGGGTGAAGGAAGGGCCCTCTTTCAAGTATGTGCCTTCCTCGGGCACTCTGACTCAGCTCTAGAGGGCCTGATTGCTCTTCCTATAGTCATTAGATTCCCTTTACTCCTTGTGGGTAATCTCTTCCTAATAGTTAACAATTTTTTATGTTAAAGTTTCCCTGTGTGAATTACTGTGTGCTTTCTGTCTCCTAACTGGGCACTGATAAAATGTATTTTGCTTTTAGTAGCTGCTTTAAGAAACACTCCCAAGCCCCAGCATTTAATTTTATTAGTTCAGGATTTGTTTTAGAAGGAACATAAATTACTTTTAATGCGATTATGTAAGTGAAGGGATTGCCCAAATGTGCAGTTTAGAGAGACTGTTTGCTTTCTTTGGCCATTTATAAGGGGTATTTCTCAAACTGGGCTCAATGGACCCTTGCGAGCAGACCCTGAGTCAACTATTGCTATGAAACAAACCTCCCTAAACACAACAGTTAAAACTATGGTCATTTACGATTCCTCATATATTTGACAGCAAGACTCCAAAGTCAAATGACAAATGGTGAAGATACAGAAAAAGATGAAGAACCGGGTTTCAAAAGGCGCTCTACCGGAGGGTCCAAGGACATAATCAAGGTTCTGTGAGTTTAAATAGTATTTTAAAACTGCGTATTTTCAATTCAGTGAGAAAATAAAGGATGGAATCACTGCCATAGACTTTAAGTGCCTGCATTGGCATGCATGGTCTGGTTCTTATCAAGGATCATCTTAAGTGAGTGTGTACTTTATTTGTTAATTTGTGAAGTTATAGCTTTTTAAAAAACGTACTCTGTGTATCCCAATGAACGGCCACCATCATTAATTATGTGTTTATTATAAGCTTTTATAGATATATAACATTGATAAGAGAAATTTTCACATATTGAGGAATGGAGAAGTCATTCTGGCTTATACATAAGTTAACTTGAAGTTTATGCTAACTAAAATAGCCTGTTTGTGGCCTATCAAACATACATTGTACATCTGCTTTAGTTATTAAGGAAAAGAGTGTGTTGACCAGAAGTCAAGAATGTCCATGTTAAAAAATAAAGATTAAATACCTCCCTTCCTGGGACACCAATCGATGACAAGACTCCCTTCCCAGGTGCAAAGCTATACTGACTCACAGTGTATGTGCTGATCTGTTTTTTGAAACCTTTAAGGAGTGCATCCCTGACTTGTTTAATGTTCTTTGTTCTGACAAGATATAAAAGTGTGCTGAAAACCCTGCTTCTCTGGAGCAGTTCCTTAGAGTTATCAGAGAGGCTGTCTTCTGAGGTATCATCTCAGTTTGGCTCAGATAAAACTCTTTTCTATTTCTATTATAGATTGTTTATTGATTACTTTTGTTGACAACATACATACAGAAAAGTGTATAAACTGTACGTGTATAGGTCGTGACTTTCAATAAAGTGAACCTTCCTGTGTGAGTGTTTAAGGGAGTGTTTCTCAAAGTGGCCTCTGCAGAGGCTGTCACAGGCAGAGATCCATCAGTTCCAAAGCTTCACCAATAATACACAGAGAAACTTTTCCTCTGACCAGGAAAGAAGAGGAAACAGAACAAAATCGAAGCAGTTACTGCAGAGGAAAAAATGGAGGAGTCACACACAGAGATAGGTAATAGCTAACTCTTGCAGGTTTCACCAGCAGGTTTGCCACAGAAAACTGGTGGGCCACAAGCCCTGAACCCTTCAGAGCCAGTGCCACTAAATCATGATCAATGTGTAACCCTGATTTTTGCTCTAACTCATGCTGCTATGGCTCTGTCTGTCTTGAAAAATGCTGAGCTGATAACATACAAAGAAAAATTCAACTTGTTATAAATTATGTGTAACAGCATAGCCTAAGTCCAGGCCTGTGCCAGAGAAAGGTGACATATTTGCTGCGGCTGCCGAGTGCCTAGTCTCCTGAGTGCGCAGAAGGGCGAGAAGAGGACAGTTAACTGTTCTACTCAAACTGAGCAACAACAACCTTGAAGAGTGGCCAAGTGACAAACAGTGCAGTAACTATGGGTGCTTTTATAGACTTTATGAGACGTAGTCACACCCTAGTAGTGATTGTGTGTGTATGTTTAAAAAATTTTTTATTTTATGATAGTCCTAGATTTACAGAAAAGTTGCAAAGATGGGACAGAGAGTTCTCACATATCTTATACCCAGTTTCTCCTATTACAAACATCTTCCATTATTATGGTACAGTGCCACAATTAATGAATCAATACTGGTAACATTATTATTAAGCAAAATCCATAATTTATCCATGTTTCCTAGTTTTCACCTAATGTTCCATCCAGGGTACCACATCACATTTAGTTGTTATATATCTTAGGATCCTCCTAGCTGTGACAGTTACTCTTTCTTACACTTTCCTGGTTTTTGAAGTCCTTGACAATTTCAAGGAGTACTGGTCAAGTATTCTGTAGAATGTCTTTTCATTGGGCTTTGTTGGATGTCTGTATTTTAATTATTGCTGGCATATTTAGGATTGTTAGTTCCTTCAAACATGTCACCAGAAGTGTCAGAATTAGCAAATGTGCCTCAGACACAAAAAGCCTGAAAACCACTGGTCTACCTCAAAGCAGACTGTAGATATACATAAATGAAGTTGTCAAGATGCTTATTCCACCTTTAGTTTCAAATTCCAGTTTCAAAAAGCAAGGTAGGTTTACAGACCTTTCACACAGTGGTTGGATAGCAATCTTAATTTATAAACTATGGGCATGTCACCCAAAATGACCCAGGCCATCAGCCCCTCACCCTCGGTCCCCAGCTCCAACTTAGAAGGGAAGACAGGAGCTTTTCAGTCCAAGGTCATATGGTAGTAATTCACCCTGAGGTAAAAGGGAAGTTTCAACTAAGCATAAAGAAACTCTAAGTTATTCATGGTTTCAACGGAATATGTTTTTAAAGTACAAGCAGAAACAATGATCCAACTTTCAATAAAATATTTTCTTCTTTGTTTTTCAAATGAGTGAAGTCCAAATTAGGGAACACAAAGGATTATATCCTACTAATTTGTAACATCTGGTACCAGAAAAGCAGTGAAGCCGTTACAGCTACTCTAGTAATTAAATCTGTACAAGGTGCAGACTTAAAACACTTTGATGATTCAGCTCTTACTAGTGAGAGTGAAGTCACCAATCACAAGTGTTTGGAGCACTTAACATTACTGGCAATGCTGGAAATGGTACAATGTTTAGTTCAATAAAAGAAGACAATACCTGCCATGTCCCCTGGAGCTCAAAATTTAAATATTTATATTGGAATACACACAGGTCTAAAGATGTTTTCTGTGAACCAGAAAGTACTCACCGTGTTGGCCAGCTCTAGATAGCTTCCTCCTACAGAGTTGCCAGAATGTGGGGACTGTGTGAGCAGCTTGTGGAGAGCATCAGCGTGCTGGTGCAGAGAGCTCCCGCCACAGTCCAGAAGCTTCTGTAGAGCTGACTGACCCTGTAAGTCCGGGCTCTGGAGGTCCCTGGCACCCGAGTCGTATTCCCAGCTCTCTCTGGCTGCTGATAAGGCACCTAGGTCCAGGAGAGGCAGGGGAGAAAAAAGAGATGTTTCCTTCACTAGCCTGTGGGTGGCCAACAGGCAATGACTTGGAACCTCCTAACTCTGCCATGTGCCAGTGCCTCAGAACACATGTGGCGCCCAGGCTGCATGCTGAGCACTTTCTCCTTCAAACTGACACATGAGGAGCCTGCAGATAAAAGCAGTTTTAGGCAAAGTATTCAGAAATAACGATCCAATGGATATGTGCCCCACCTCCAAACAGCAATGTTTAGCAGAAAGCACTGAAGAGCCAAGAAAAGGGAATCTGACCAGCACTACAGCTGTCTGTGATTTACACAGTGTTTCTGTATGATCAGCCTCCTTACTGTAGTCCCTTTTACCAGCTAAGGAGGAAGGAAGGAAGTGAAAAGACAGAAAATTAGATATGGCACTTTACCATAGTTTTCTAGTGTTGATGTACTTTTACCTGGAAAAAGCTACAGGAAGCCAGTTAAGTGTAGTCATGTGGCTGAGCTTGGAGCAACAGAAAGTGAACAGAAGTGAAGAGCACAGCTTCAGAGCCTGGCTCATAAAAGTCCTGGGGTGTGATTCTCCATGCCTTGTGCCTCTGGCTGGTTCAGATGGGCATGGTACCCTTGGGAACCCCGTGGTACAGATGGCGAAGCCACAAGTTGGAAGATGCCTGGCTCCCTGAGTTACCTCCTGCAGGGGGGCTGCCTGCTGAGCCAAGGCACCATCTTCACTTTGTATAATTAGGAAAGAGAAACTTTTGTGTTTGATTCACTATGTATTTTTGGTTTGTGAGGGCAGCTAGCATTACTTTACTATCACAGCAGATTAGAACCTAATAAAAGATGCTAATCATTATATTAGCATGGGGAAGTACAGTGAAAAGTAGACCTAGAGAAGGCATATCTCACCCGACTGCCCCGAGAGGGATGGGAGATGTCCAGGGAATGCTTACTGGAGGGGAGAGCCCGATGCTTCACTTGCCACCTTTGCTAGAAAAATGAGATTTTGAATAAAGCTTGCTTCTTCGTGTTGCTCACTTCTGAGCCCCTCACGTATGCAGCTGGTTAGTGGATCCTGGCTTAGATGCCTGTCTTAGCTGCAAGGGAGGCTGGGAAGTTTGTTTTCTGGCTTCCACTTTGAGGAGGTAGGATTTGTAAGGTGAGACCCTTCCTAAACGTAGGAAGAGTATTCAGAAGGCCTGGGCAGCCAGCAAACAAGACAAAGGTCTACACACAGGCACTGTGCTGGGTACTGGGGACATAGCAGTGCACACAGTGAACTGCACTCCCTGCCTGTGGGGCTTTCATTCTGCTGGGTCTTTAATACATGACTTTAAATATACAAAAAGGGATTCATTAAAATTACAATTTTTACTATGAAAAGGGAACATAAACAGATTACTCTACAATTTGCTTGCATATAATTACGTAGAGCAAACTACAAATTATGTAAGTGGGTTCTGACATGAATTTTCCACCTCCCTGTACTGGGTACTGGTGAATTTCATCAATGTCATTAGAAAAACTGTCTTTTTCTGCAGCCACGCCAGATGGTTTTCCTCTGCTGCTCATGTTCTGCTGATCTTCTTCAGTCAGTCTGACTTAACACTCTTTTCGTCCAGTGCTGTATGGCTGGGTGACATGTCTTTGTGTCAAAGCAGACAATTTTGTTACTATGTTTGCAATTGCCCGAAGTTTAATAGTAAAATCTATCAGTTAGTCTGCAAGGGAGGTTTTGCTTTCCTTCAACATGGACTCCAAAATGCCTGCTCTGCCTCCTCCTGCTCCTCTGAATGCTCTCTGTCTAACCAGCTGCCTCACGTTTTCTGTCCCGGCCCCAGCAATGTGTGCCAAGAAGACTGGCTGAGCTCAGAGCTGAAAATAGGCTGAATCACTGATGGCCTTACAGCTCATACATCAGACATATAAGCGTAGGGTAGGGCCCTGGCCTTTCATGTTTCACCGCAGTATCATCCGTACCTTGCACAGAGCCTGTGACATTTCAGGCATTTAACATACATTTACTGAATGGATTCCTGGATTATTTACAATGGTAGTAGGCCAGGGTTTTACTTCCTAAATGGGAAAAGCAACATGGAGATTAATTTTAAAAATCAAAATAAATTTTACACTTAGACTTTTTCTTTATACAACTCAAGAGATTCATTTTCAAATAATGAAACATATTTCTGGGATAAGACAGCCCAAGGGAGCTTCATTTGAATTTATTATGCTGTATTAACAGTCCCAAATCCAGTTTCTGGCAGAGTCATATAATCAGGTTAGAAGCTCCATGTTAATCAGCAAGATCAAAAGGCTCACACTATTACCGTAACAATTTTTACTCAAGTGATACTGAGAACCCAGATCCTCTGCTAAGGAGCCTGGGCAATCATATTAGCATCCACTTTAATGGACCAGAAAAAGGGAAGTACATTTTCAAAAAATACAGTAGACTATTCCCATTACCCTCTTTTAATCTGTCTTCAAATTAGATATTTCTGGATAAAACCCAATATTCCTGAGGCAAAATTAGTCATTTAATTGGGAAGAACTTCAAAATGCAGGTCTTCCTTTCGCCCTTTGAAGCATGATGGTACCTGATATTTCTAGGCTCACTGTCATGCCAGTCTCTCTTCAGTCCCTTGCTAAGCTCAAAGGAGCCTGTTGACCATGGGCAGATGGCTGTGTTTTCTTATCCTTAGCATGACACCATTACATCTATACTGCCCCCCAGGCTCACTAGGCTATCTGGTATCTCTTTAAAAGGGCACTAATTCCATCATGAGGGCCCCATCATTGTGACCTCATCTAACTCTGCTCACCTTCTGAAGACCCATCTCCAACTACTATCACATGAGGGGACAGGGCTTCAACATATGAATTATCGGGGGAAACAAATATTCAGTCCATAACAACCACTGAGCAGCTGCTCTCCAGGCCCACAGGGAAAGTAACTGTATGGCATTGCTTTAAATACCCAAGACCAAAGCACTCCCTGGGCCTAGAGGTCTCTGCCCACACAGAACCAAAGGAGGCCACAATATCTGCCACCATAATCCTGAAGTAAGAGGTAAGATATATTCTTTTTTTTAAACTAAATATTTAATGTTTAAAGGTGGTTGAACACAGATTCCAACTGTTTCTCTTATCAGAAAAACACAGGAAACAAGTGGCAATTTGACATGTTTATAAAATACATTACTGGGAAAACCCTGCTTTCAGAGAGCATGCTGGAACACAAAATCTGCCAAGCCCTGAGATCCTTGCCCTGCTGGGTACTTGGCAGCTACATGCTAGGATTTTAATCCCATTTTCAAAGTGCCACCCAGGTTTGGTTCCAAAGCTTGCAATTACTGTGCTTATTTACCAAAGGCACCACGCCACCTTCCCATGGGCTAAGCCCCCTGTGAGAATAAAGCAAACCAACATGGAACTCCTGAAATTCACCTTAAAAATATTCAGAACAATCATGACAGCTAACATCTATTCAAAGCCACTAAGGACCAGGTACTGTTCTAAGAATCTTTCATGTATTACCTTATTTAGATCTACCCACAGTCTATGAATAAATAATCCATTTTTCCATTTTTAGAAAAAGACATTTTCCCTCTTTCAGCTTCATTTTGTAGACTTACTTGTTGGCACAGAATAGTGGTTAAGAGCTGGGGTTCTGTAGTTAGGTTTCTTCAAGTCAAATAAAGAGCCACCATGACCAGCTATGTGACTTCAAGCAAATTAGTTAACCCAAGTCTCAGCTGTCTCATCTTTAAAATGGAGATAGAAATATGTATTTCATAGAGGTGTCTGAGAATTAAATAAGATTATAATATGTGGAACATATTAGACAATCCTTGATAAATGATAAACTGGCCAACAAAATGTTAGCAATTATTTGGTCATACTTCACAATTGTAGTTATTTGGAATTCATTTTACACAAGTTAACAGGGAACAAATATGTGACAGAAATGTATATATACCCTCCTAGGTTCTGAGAGGTACCTGTTTAAAAAGACTAATTCTTAAAAACAAACCTTTGGCACCTATCCAGTGGCTAAAATTTCATCAATAGTTTTGTGCTTAACATCTAGTATTAGAGACAATAAAAATTGCCAGTTAGGTCAGGGCCAAAGTTATGTGTCTCTGAGTAAGGAATCTTCCACTAATGAGTCAAAGTCTTCGGGGTATGATAGACTTTGCTTCCCCATTCTACTGGCCAGCTCTTACTTGCGCAGACCATCTGGCCTCCCCCCAAAGCCTGTGACCAGTGCAGTGAGGAAGTCTGCCCGGTCCAGCAGCGGCCGCAGCAGGGGCAGCAGCGGCTCCCAGGCAGGGAAGGCACAACTTATTTATTCATCAGATCTGTGCTCTGGCCACCCTAGCCACCCCTCTGTTTTCTACCTCCAGTTCATCCTTTTCCAACCTTCATTTAAATGCCTGGGTGCCTCTCATCACATCACAGGCAGATGGTAATGCAGAATGTTTAGGGATCCTGAAACCTGTATTAACACTATCTTATTGTTACTTGAAAACAGGGTTCATCTCTTGGTGGGTGAACCTCAGGAGAAGGAAGGATTTATTATTACTTGCAGCAAGTAAGGAGAACACTGGGGATCTTTCCCAAAGCAGTGTCTCCCCAAAAGTAAACCTGGGGAAGTTTTGAGCTAAGGGTATATGCACATTCATGAATATGAAGACCTTCAGCCAGCCCAGAGTGCAGCCAACTGACAAACTGGGCTACTGCCAACCCACAGTGCCCAAGTGCTTTGCCCTCCTAACGCTGAACCCAGACAGTCTGTGGTCTACTCTCCCCCAGCCTCAACCTGGGGAGTCTCCTGGACTCCATGCTTGACTGGGTTGCCCACTTGGCAGTAAAACCTTCCCACTCAGCAACCAATCTTTTCTCTCTAATGGCCTTTATTACTTTTCTTTTTTCTTTAACGATTATTTGTGCCTTCTCTTTTTTCACTTTAGCATTCTTGCCAGGAAGATATCGAT